GTGGGGGGGGAGGGGTTATGAGGTCACTGAGGCCTCCAAACACGTGGCAACACAAACTAACAGAATCGGTTAAACCTCATTTTATAGATGTCAATCCATACAAATAGCAGGTATTTAGACAGAACTACTATCTCCAAGTGACCAGATTCTCTTGTTCTAACAACAGGACTGAAAAAGTGGTACCTGAGCACCAGAAATATCCAAAATTAGAGAACAGGATTAGCATCGGAAGGGTCGTGAGCAGAGCACAGAGGATGAGCAGACTGAAGTCACCACGGGATGGAAACCAACTCTGTCCACGTATGTGGACAATGTCTACGTTTTCAAAATCTCGACTATAATGTGCCTCTCTGAGTCACACCTAATTCTCTCTCAGGTTTTTAAAAATCACAGTGGAACTCCTTGGCTGCCTACTTAGCATCCTCTCCTTCTCCTTCCTTATGTAAGGAAGACTGATTTCGTTCACTGACCCCTCGCACCCCCATCCCCACCCTCACCCCACCCCCAGCTCCAGAGGAAGAGCCTGATTAGTTTAAGCGGGACATGGCATTTTTCTGCTCACAAGTATTTTTTGTTTTTCTGAATATAGTTATTAGTCCAAGAGGGAACATGTGATGCAAGATCAGGGCCTTGGCCCACGCGCTTGTGGGCTGCGCTCCGTGAGAGCGTTCCTGCCCAGACCTGCTGGCCAGGCAGTGTCCCAGCCTGGAAGGCGGTGGCCTGGGGGACCCAGGCTCTTTTCCGAATGGTTCTCCCTAAGGGGCCACATTTCAGCTGTCTAGGTGGGGTCTAGGTGGGGTCGTTTCTGAGCCACCCAAAGGCTCCTGACTGTTAGCAGGGACCCTGCTCAAAGTCGGCTCATCTGAGCGAATCCCTTGTTGATGTTTGAGAGAGGGGCAAGGTCCCCATTCCTTCCCCGGGTCTGATGAAGGAGGCATGGCGCCCCGGGTGCTCTTGGCAGCCTCCCCCTACCCTGGTGGGGGTCAGCCCGAGGTCGAGCCGCACTGAGAGAATCACAGACGAAAGGCCAAGCTCCCGCATCTGACCTCAAGACTCCCCCTTACACTTGACTTTTTCTGTGATAATATGTCACATATCATATAGATGGTAATAAAAGATAGCAAGTATCTTTATTGTTTTAAGTCAACTTGAGTTGGACTTTCTATAACCAGTAGGCAAAACATCTTAAGAGATGTAACTTTTTTCTGATTCTAAAAAAAGTGGCCATTCATTTAGGAAAGGTAGAAACTACAAAAAACAAAAACACCAAAAAACCACACACAAAAACTTAATCCCACCACCCAGGGGCTATAATTGTAAACTTTTATTGTGACCTTCTGATCTTTTTCTATATGTGGGTCCATGTACTTTCAAAACTGAGGACAGCAGTGCACATAATACTTTGTATTTTGTTTTATTTACCTAATGACATGTAATGAGCCCAGGAGAAATTACTCTTCTACCTCGATTTTCAATTTTTGCATATTATTTCACTTTATGGTTGTATTTTATGTCCCTTATTTTTGAATATCTGCAGCATTTTAATTTTTCTATGTTACAAACAATGCTAGGATAATATCATTGGGCATGTATTTTATACATGTTTGACCTATCTTCTTGGCTATACTCTTATAAGTGGAGTTTTGGTCAACAAGTTTGAACATGATAAAAGCTTCTGATACATATCTCCACATTTCTAGCTTATATTCAAGATGAGAGATAATTTTGTGTGTTGACAAGTTCCTCTAAGTACTCACAGCAGTTTCTTTCGTCCATCTCATCAGGGCAGTCTGGGAACCCATCACAGATGAGTGTGTTCTTCAAACACTGTTTATTGGATGGACATTCCCACAGGCCTCTCTCTTTACAGCCTGGAGACAGAAGAACAAGTCATCTGTATTAGATGTGAAGGTGAAAATAAAGATGAATTTGATCAAGCAACGTAGAAAAATTACATCAGAAAGGCCTGATTTCTTTTTTCTTAAAGAGTTTTGACTCCTGTATACCATATAAATGTAATTTTGAAAGTAGAAATACTTGATAATCTCCGTACTGCAATATAAATAGTATAGCTCTGCTAAGAGATCAAATGTGACATATAGAAAGGGGGGGAGGGATGAAAAAGCAATCATATATTAACGTTCACCTTTAACTGTTCCTTTTCCTTTCTGAGCCAACACATAAGACTCATCTATAAAATGGTGAGCTATGTTTTTAAACAAATATGTCAAAACTACATGCATATTATCTAAAAATGTAATTTCAGTCCACACATGTAGAGGTCATCTGTGTGTGCGGCAAAAGAGGCCCCTCCTAAGCCAAATGCCTACAAAACCAGTTTAAGAGCCAGGTACGAAACCCATTACTTACTTTAGAAATGCAGCCAGAGATCTAAGGTTAAAAACTTACCAGTTAATTTGGAAATAAGCACAACTTGCGTCAGATTGAGACTATAAGCTTTGACTGTAATCTGCCCGTGAAATAGAAGCACATGTGATAAACTTAGTGCCACCTGAGTCTAAGGCAGTGGGTGTCATACGTCTGCTAAAACATGCCAGGAGTCTAATGTGTTCTTATCACCCCAGCTACACCCGTGGCCCTCACCAGGCTGTGAGGTGCATGAAGGAAGAGACCACAGGGCATTCGTGCCCGGGTACCTTTCACTCCTGCCGAGAACAGTGGCTCGCACTTGGCAGGCCCTCAACACGTGTGTATTTTAAATGGAACTTCATTTAGTGTAAGGAACAAAGAGTCTCTCTTGTTTCCAGGAAAGACCATTTAGTTTAAGGTGACTGAGATGCAAAGCACTGATCAAATATGGAGTTTTTAAAAAAAATGCTATTCACATCTGACTTAGCACAAATAATTCACAGAAATTTCGTAGATGATTGACTCATGTTTCTTGAAATCTATGATAAGAAGAAAAAAACCCTGCTTTTTTCAAAATTCTTATTAAGAACAGTTATCAAAATAAGGTGCCAAAAGAGGAATTTTTACTATGAGATAAATTATAAAGTGTTTCAGCATTAAAAGTATTGGAAATAAATGGTGAGAGGAGCTAGCTGTACACTTGGAATGGTCTTAGGCCCAGGGATATCTATTGCAGGGACTCACAGGGGTATTATTTGGATTTTCAGCTAGCGGAGGAGACAGACATCATCTGGAATGCCTGACAATGGCAGCCCCTGGGGTCCCTGGAGATCTGAGGAGCCGGAAGCCTGCCCTTCATGGCCTAGCTCCTGCCAAGCGGCACAGTGTGCTCGTTCCACCTCAGAGCAAGGGAAATCCAGACAGAGGTCTCAGCATCCCACGGTGCCCGCCAGGCTCTGAAGGCTGCTTCTCTCGCTACAACCCCACCATGTGCCCATAGAGGATGAGAGAAAAAATATAAGTCTTCCTGACTATTCACAAGATTCCCTTCCTTCATGTAGGAAGAAAAACATAGACTTTTGGAATGAGCTAATGAAAGACCACAAAAGTAGATCTTGAGACATAAGGCCTGCATCTCAGAAAGAGTAATGATAATAAGAGACACTTATTATCCACTATAAACTCTAGATCTGAGTTTTAATTCTTACAAGAACACCACAATGACAGTATTACAATCACCATTTTACAAGTGAGATTTAGAGAAAATAAATAAATGTCTCCAATTCCAGCCTTATCAAGAAAGATCCAGCTAGGATCCAGGCACAAGCCTTCAGTTATTGTCCTCCCTAAAGTGAGAATACACAGCATGCACGAGGTAGGCGTGAGGGAAGCACAGCTTCAGAGTCAGACACCTGGGTGTGAACCTAGCTCCGATCTCACTAGCTGTGTGACCTTGGGTGAGTTACTTAACTTCTCTGAACCTGTTTCATATCTTTAAAATGGTAATAATAATGCCTGATACAAAGAGTTGCTCTAAAGATTGAAGGAGCACTTGATAAGCATTAACTTACTCTTCTGTGTCTTCTCTTTTGTAATAACAGTTTGTGTGGCCTCACTCCTCCTTTGCAGAGTATGGTAAGTATGTATGAAGGAGGAGGGAAAGGCCAAGACGTTAATCACATGGAAGGTAGATTATTATTCTGTGAAGAAACTGCCCTCTGTTTAAAGTGACATTTTTGGTGTAATAATGTTTTACCTTTTATAAAAAATATATATATATCTTTATTGATTTCAGAGAGAGGAAGGGAGAGGGAGAGACAGAAACATCAATGGTGCGAGAGTCATTGACCGGCTGCCTCCTGCACGTCCCTGACTGCAGATCAAGCCCGCAACCCGGGCCTGTGCCCTGACCACGAATTGAACCTTGATCTCCTGGATCCTAGGTCAATGCTCAGCCGCTGAGCCACGCCAGGCCGGGCTGTAATAATGTTTTAAATGTATGTTTTAAAATGAAAAGGGTATGACTTCATTAAAAAGCAAAAACAGGTATGGATGGGATGGGATATTTAATGTAGGTGTAGGTTATGAAACCAAATAATTGTTGATGTCAGGATAACAACCACCTGGCACAGAGAGCAGGCCAGCAGTCACTCCTCAAGGCCACGGTGTGTAACTTAAGTGACCAGCTCATCCCAGTTTGCCCGGGACTTTCCAGATTTGAACGATGAATGTTCCTCGTGCTAAGAATCTCGCTCAGCTCAGGACAGACTGGGTGGTTGGCCAGCCTAGGTGAGCAAGCATTCTGCTGGGTTCTTCACTCTCATTTTCACAGAAACTCTGTGAAGCAAGGTTCCCAGACAGGGGCAGGTCCCACCTGAACTGGGGCACCTTTTTCTCCACCAAAAAGTGGTCATTATAGGTAAAGGCAAAAACCACCTTAAAGCAGATGCTTGTACTGTCGGAGTCTCTGTTATGCAGATACAGTAAGTAGGTCCACTCCTTAGGTCTGCTCATTTGAGCCGCATGGAATAAAAAACATCTCCAGGGAGGAGCTGGTTGTAAGGGGAAGGGGGCGAGGCGTTCTGGGGCCTGGAACTAGCCATTCTGGACCAGCACCTGCCCCGGGAAGTGGCTGATCACGGGAAGAGTGATCACAGGTTCTGGAGCAGTGAGGCTCAGCCCTCCAGAGCGTGTGACCCTGGGCGATGAAGCCCCAATCTCACAATCTCAAAGAATGGCCACAGAGGACTCTGTTCCTGCCCCTGCGAGGGAGCCCAAACAGAGGACCCGCCTCCCCACTGACTCAGGGTCTGATCATCAGGAGTAGCAACACCAGCGCAAGTCACAGAGCTCCCATCGTCAACCAGAGTCTTAGAAGTCCTCCCAAGTCTCGAGTCACCTCTACGTTTAAGAGCACCAACCACATGTCATCTTCTCCAACATGTGAAGAGGCATGATAAAGAAATGTAAAGGGTTTGAACTGCAAGCAGGGGGTGCCCTCAGTGACTATAATCCTGGAGATGGGGGCATGTGCCCCCAAAACAAGTGCCACCTCCAGGACAAGCCACCTCCCCACCACCTATGTTAGTCATATGAATCAGGGACTTTGCCCAGCCCATGCTTTGGACATGACACGCCAGCCTGCTGTCCTCTGCCATAAACAGGATCTTGGTCTGTCAGAGACCAGACAATCTAGACAGGACTCCTGCCCTCAAGGGAGATCCCTGGGTGGCCTTCGAGGGGAATCTCCTCCTGGATTTCCCAGCACTGTGGCAGGTGGGTTCTTGGAGATTGCCTTCTGAGGACTGACTAACACATGTTATAAGCTTCCCAAACTATGGGCGATGAAGTGGGCGTTCTCTACATTTTACAGGTGAGAGAACCAAGGCCCAGAGAAGTTAAGTGACTGGCCAAAAGTCACACAGCCTCTAAGTGCAGAGTCAGGATTTAAAGATGCAGAGCACTCTGCCACTCCAGGCTGCCTGCCCAAGATACCAAATAAGACAGCAAAGGGTTAAAAAGTAGCAAAATATAGAGAGGGAAGGAGAATGACTCTCCTAACATGGAAAAATTAACCCTACTGCGTGATCAGAAGTCAAGCCTAAAGATTCAGCCAGAAAGCACGTTGTAGGTATGTGACATGATATGGACACGATTCTCACTCTGTCTCTGCTGGTCGCAGAGCAAGGACGGAGTCGGTCTCTCCCACAAGCAGAGGCAATGAGATATAAAGGCACTGAGACTGGCTGTTTAGAGTGCTAAAAAAAGCCCTTCTGTGAAAGAAATTACACAAATGCTATTAAAAAGTCCAAATAGAAAAAGTCTTTGGAAAACTCTTAAAATCAAGCAGTAAAACCCACAAATCTGAGTCAAAGGCTTTTTAAACACAGCCTGAGGGTGTTTTGACTCCGAGAAAAGGTTCAGGTTATATTTATAGTTTTTATTCCATTTGAGCCCAAGAGGAGATCAGAGATAGATGACGAAATGATTATTATTTGAAGAGAAATAGAAAGGCCCATAATCACACCCACGCATTCGTACGGTCAATTTTCCTCCTGATGGTGTATACGTTCTCGTATAGAATAGTGACCAGTTAGGAACCACGGTGCTATATTCATGTAATAAAGGGTTTTATTTCTAAAGGAATTGTTTTAGTTATATGCTCATAATGCCCCATTGAGAAGACTTGCTGCTCACACCACAGCCCAGGTACCACCTCGCTCCTGCTGGTAGCTCACCCAAATTGTGGCCACAGGTTTAGTGAAAGCTCACCCCCGCCTCACAAACTCAAATCTATAGCATGAAGGCAAAACTCAGAAACATAATCCCCTTGTTACTTTCCTTAGCTCTCGTTTGTTCTATGTCATTCGTGTTCATTTCTTTGCCCAGTTGCGCACCTTTTTCTCCACGGCTTAGATACTAATGCTTGGAAAATATTAGATTTAAAATCAGCCTGTTTCGTGCAGTTGCTCGTTTCACAACAGCCCCCTCTAAATACTATAGGTCCCAGGAATGACAAACCATCAGCCTTCAGGACAAGGACGCCTTCTGTACCGACAGCGCTGATTCTATCGGTCACTCCCATTGTTTAGGCTTCCCTCTCATGACGCAATTCTGGAATGATGTGTTCAGATTTGCAAAATTCTTCCAAAGACTTGCTGAAAACATTTCTATTACTGACAGGTTTTCAACTCTTGTTTACATTAGCAATTACACAAGGAAAACGACCTCGACAGCAAAAATCTACCACGGAGCAGGAGACGACATAGCTCACCGCTACGTTCCAACGCATGTATTTTAAAGTGTATTTATTAATGGTATGCTCTGGCCACCATGTTTCCCTGCTCACGTGCCAAAAAGACACAAGCAGATTTCCAAAACATCAGTTATTTTATAACTAAATTAAAGTCTTGCTTTGAGGGGAAACGCAGCAATGTTGTTGGAACTTCTGGGGGAACTGCAGGTGTGAGAGAGCGAATAGTTCACTGTCGCTTTATTCAGTGAAACCTAAGCATTGATGTGCCTTCAGCTCCACAGCGGGCGGAATAAATCACACAGACCTGAAGCTTGGGGCAAAACCCAACCTCGCCAGAGCTGGTGGCTGCGTTGCCAGATGCCCTGTCCGTGCAGGCGCGTGGAAACAGAGGCAAACTGAGCAAGCAGGCAAAGTGGGGCCTGGGTGATTTCCCAAAAGTCCTCTTTTGAGACTTTCTCCAGGTGATTTCCTTATTTGATTTTGAGTGTGTGTCCACCCGGAGCATCGGACATGCCCATTCAAATGTGTGCATACACTTCAAGGGGGAATGTATGTGAATTTTTATTACCAGTCACTTTGGAAAAGGTAGTGAGTTTTCTCATGACTTGATACTGTTGGAACAATTAATGTAACTTCAAATGTATTCATCCCTCC